AGATAGGTTAACAAATCGCCATATTTAGTCTGCAATAAGGGCATTGTTTTTTAGAGATCGTATTGAGGGACAGTCCGTACTGGTTCAGATGGTGCTAATCGTTGAATAACGGTAGATGGAATTAAAAAACGATCGACAAAATTAGGTTGAAAGAAAAATAAAGCCCAGGAAAAAATAAGACTCAGGCACCCACCTCATAAGCACGAACGCACACGCACACACACACACACACATATATATATATATATATATATATATATATATATGTATGTATGTATGTATGTATGTATGTATGTATGTATGTGAGTGTGTGTGTGTGCGTGTGCGCGTCTGTATGTAATGACGGAGAATGAGAGAAGGAATGGATGAAAAAAGTTGCATATGTAGGCAGAAAAGATAAATTATCAGAGCTGCATCCAAGCAGAGATGACGAAATTGTTGGCAATCGAATAAAAAAATAGAAATTTCGAGATCAAAAGAAGCTTGCCTAAGAGAGGTTAAAAATAATATTAAATAGATTATATTAATATCCATAAAAAGTAAAATGGAAGGAAGATAAGGCTAGATAAAATAAATGAAGGTCCGCTGGTTCGAGTGACAATGAAAAAGAGAAATAAACTATAACAGGTGATAAAATGAGATAAAAAGACAACGAGAGCATAAAAAAATTGATTATTAGTTTAGGGAAGTAGAGAAAATGATGAGAAGTTTGTTAAGGAAATTGATGAAAGGGAGGAAAATAGAAGGAAGGAATAGAATGTAATCTAAAAAAACAACATCGACTGACAAAAAGGTATAGACGGAGTGAAAAGTGAATAGAGAAGAAAGAGAAGTGAATACATTATGGGGAGGGAAAAGAAAGAAGTTAAACAGTCGATAGAAAATGATAGAAAAAAAAAGAAAGCAAACAAAGACATAAGGAGAGAAAAAAAACGAAGAAAAGAAGACACAGTGATAGAGAAAAGGAAGAAAAGAAAAACATGTGGACAGAGAAAAGGAAGAAAAGGAAAACATGTGTACAGAGAAAAGGAAGAAAAAGAAAAATGGGGACAGAGAAAGGGAAGACAAGAAAACGTTGATAGCAAAAAAAGAGGAAGAAATGGAAAAATATGGGTAGAGAAAAAGAAGAAAATGTGTGAGTAGAGAAATGGGAGAAGAAAAAAGACGTGGATAGCGAAAAGGAAGGAAAGAAAGAATGTTGTAGATAAAAAGAAGAAAAGAAAAATCTGAATAGAGAAAAAGAAGAAAAGAAAAATATGAATAGAGAAAAGGAAGAAAATGAAAAACATGGGTAGAGAAAAGGAAGAATAGAAAATATGTACATAGAAAAAATACGTGGAGAGAGAAAAAGAAGAAAAATATATGCATAAAGAAAAGGGAGAAGAAAAAAAAAATCACGTGTATAGAGAAAATAATAAAAGAAAAAAACTATATGAGTAGATATCAAATACAGCAAGCTCATCGAAAGATAAAAGAAAAAAAAAGCATTTTGTAAAAAAACTGAAGAATTTGAATATATAAATAGATAAAAGATAAGAAAATATTTGGGGAAAGAAAAAGGAAGAGATGAAAAACGATGGATTCAGTAAACGTGGGTCTGATTTAAGTAATACATAATATTGAGAACGGTGTGGATCAAGAAATGAAAGATTAGAAAGAATCATGGCTCGAAGAATTGAAGGATGAGAAAAGTTCTGGAGATAGAAAAGGATGTTTAGTAATAAGTAAGGTAAATAAGAAAAAAAAACTTTCTAAGTTTCATACATTCATAGCTATTTCAAGAAATGATAAAGAAAATACAAATATTACAGAAGAAAAAAAAATGTAGAGATTAAAAATACTAAGAATGACCTGAATCAATCGATATAGTTTCCCTTCATTTCTTTTTAGTTTGACACCATATTCAGGAGAAAGCTATATCTATCTTTCTTTGCAATTGTTTACACCTAACGAAGGCTTTTTAGCAGATTGGTCGAAACGCGGTGCTAACTACAAAAGCAACATAACGAACGAGTTCGATAATCCAAACAAGATTCCTTTTAAACATGCAAAAGACAGAAATGAAGAATAAGATTATAAATATATGATGGTAAATTAACGGTTTCTGGTGAGATATTTTTTTTTCTACAGAAGGTTCACCCTGTACAAGGCCCGAGGGCCACTCGTGTTGGAGACTTATGTCAAGAGGCAGTTTATACTGTTAGGAGGGGAAGATGACAGTTAACTCTAGACTAGAAAAAAGTGAAGATTGTAGGGAAACATCCTTTTGGAAGTCGGTTCTACAGGGCGGTGGTTCCTAGGAAGAAGCTGTTCGAGTGGAACTTATTTCTCACCGATGAAATTCGGAGATAATGTGGGTAGTTCGTTATAATGTAAATGGCATGTCGGGTCCTAGCCCTGACGGTTAGACCTGGTAGAACCAAAGAGTGTAGTTCTTCTGATCACTTTCCATGGAAGAAGGGAAAAGCTCGCCACATACACAGAGTGAGTCAGATAGAGAGTGAGACACAGAGAGAGAGAGAGCGAGAGGGAGAGGAGGATAGAAAAATAATTCGCCCTCCATAAGGGGACACTTTTGAAGTCAGCTGTTGTCATATTTGGGCAGCTCCCACCCAAATATGACTCCATTTTCTGACTGGTCTGGCTTTTGTAAAGGCAGAGGACACCATGAAGTGTCAGTTACTTACTCGAGCGGTACAAAGGATCGACCATTTACCTGCATCTTTAAAGATAGAAAAGAGACATTTTACCTTAGAAGATCGAATGATAAATATATTCCATTTATCCCTTAGTTTAATAAACAATCAGTAAAAGACATGAAATGGACAGAGAAACTGCATGAAATGAATATACCTTAAATGAAAGCAATTGATTAATTTTTGACGGTTTATCTCAACTTTGTGGGTTATATAAAGCCGAAATTTATTTTGGATAATTCATAATATATTTCATAATTCTTTGTCTTTGACAATTGAATATTCATATTTTCGGGCTTGTGCGACATCTGAGCTATGCTTAGAAAATCACTGTGGCACCTTAATGCGGTGTAATGGTTAGCAAGATTAGATCAATTACGACTGAGAATTGAGTTCGGTCATCACTATACGTTCGGGTTTTGTGCCACATCTAAGCTATGCTATGAAAACCTTTTTTGTCGTGGGGTAATGGTTAGCCTTTTTACTTGCTAGATCAATTAAGACTGAATAGTGAGTTCGATCCTCACGAGGTGCCTCATCCTTTCGGCCTTGTGCCAAATTTAAGCTACGCTTTGAAAAGAATTTTTTTTTTGTCGTGGTGTAGTGCTTAACAATTTTACTTACTAGATCAATTAAGATGGAATAGTGAGTTCGATCCTCATTAGGAGTTTCATCCTTTCGGCCTAGTGCCAAATTTAAGCTACGCTTTGAAAATCCCCATAACAACGTAAACCACATTCAGCAAAAATATTACAGGAAAAGATTGGCGCTCTTTTTGTCTCTGCTACCCCCACTGGCAGTCTCCACCTGACCTTTCATTAACCAATTATTACCTTTTTCAACACTGCAAAACGCTTTAATGGGGTAAAAACCTAAGAGTTTGTCGAAATAAAAGTTTGTGAATAAAATAATTGTACTATATTTTTGAAAACTTCCTCTCCTTCTTTCGTCCTTAACCCCGGAAAGATTCGTTGGGGTGCCGACGTTCTGAACTGACCACCACTTTCCTACATCTCTCGCGGTTGTGTGCCAGAGCTTGAATCTTCGCGAATTGTTTTCATATTGTGGCGTGTCTTAGGCCTTTTAACGCGGTGGAGCCAATTCCTACCCAGTTTAGACAGGAGCCGATGTCCTTCACCTAGGTGACTCGCCTTGATGGCGAACGCGTGGTTGTTGTTCATCTGACCGGTTAGCTGGGTGCTCCAATGGTGCTGTGTTAACACCAGCTCTTACGTGAGAATGAAGGTAAACGAAAATGGAATTAACTTTAACTCAACTTAAAGCCTCACTGCACCAATTTTGCGAGACAAAAGGTGTCTTATAACATGAAGTACATATATAAAGATCGTGAGAGTCCTTCGAGGTAGAAGAGGGGCTAGCAACTCGACTTACAGTGAGTATGATAATCACTGGTTGACTAAACACTATAGGAATTTAACTCCCCGGAAGGAAGTTGAGTAAGCATTTATAACATTAAAATTGATCACAATGATTTTTTTTTACTAAAATTCACTCAAGGTTCGAGTGCCACTCAAGGTATAGAGTTTTTGAAAGTGTCGGCAGAAAGTGAAGGTTATGAAGGTTTTTTATTTCTTCCCGGTTTTATGAAGACGATTTAAATAACGATTGACTTTCGAATTGAAGTGATTAATGTTGTAGTTTTCAGGGAAGCATCTACGCAGGAGTCATTCCTACCGAAGTAGCGTCTCTTGCGATAAAGCTGTCTGTGTTGAAAGTCTTCCTTACAATTGGAATACTTGGGAAAGGAGATGGATTTAACTCCGTGAATGTATCATGGAGCAAATTAGACTTACCGTTTACATGTGTGATGAGATCCGTCTTCACGCAGTGGCTTGTAATCATGGCCTCATGCCAGACTTAAACATGGTAAGGAAATGTTTATATAAAGTTCTTTTTGAACCAGAAAAGTAATGACAGACAAAAGAAAACAGAACTAGAATTTAAAGAATTAAAAACAGCTTATTTAGAGATGATAAACAAATAACGTTAAAGAAGGCTTCAAAAAGAAAATAATAATGGAATAAAAAAAAAAAACAAGATGCAAATAAACCGAAAGGAAAAATGTAGAAGAAAGATTCCAGAATATATAAAAGCGAAGTGTCATTACAAAAGTAGAAAGACAAATGGAACAAGACTGTAGAAACTGACAAAAAGCAAAGATGAACGGACTCCAAAACGAAAGGAGCCAATGTGTAAGCAGAGATGGTAAAATATTTAAAAGAAAGGAATAAAAAAACACACACGTCAAAACAAAGACAACAAAAAACGAATCGTCAGAGTAAAATGAAAGAAAGTAGAAATAGACACCGCGCCACAGGAAGTATAAAGAGAGAATTGATACGTGAATTGGAGAGACGTCTCAACAAAGCTATAGCTGACGGCCATATCCCCGTTTAAAAACGAAAAATGAACCTTCCATTTTTTATTCTTTTCACCGTTTGAGAAAAAACAATACAGGCGATATAGCAACGCAGAAATAGATATTTTTGTATCTCAATGTACCAGATCTAATCGCAGAGACCTCTGTCTTCAAGCAGAAACCACATGCAGAAATATTTCTTCGGAGACCTACTTAACAGCTTCATTTATCTGTTCCTTTCTTTCTTTCTTTCTTTCTTTCTTTCTTTCTATCTATCTATCTATCTATCTATCTAATTCTGTTAATATGTATTTTTGTGTCCATCCATCTAATTCTGTTCATATCTATCTATCTATCTATCTATCTATCTATCTATCTATCTATCTATCTATCTAATTCTGTTAACATGTATGTTTGTGTCTATTCATCTTATTCTGTACATATCTATCTATCTATCTATCTATCTATCTATCTATCTATCTATCTATCTATCTATCTATCTAATCATTTCATATGTATCTAATTCTGTTCATATGTAACAATCTAATTCTGTCCATAACTATACAGCTATCTAATTCGGTTCATTATCTATCTATCTATCTATCTATCTATCTATCTATCTATCTATCAGTGCACCTTGTTCTTGTATAACGGTTAGTAAGCTGATATCGCAGATTATTACTACTAATTAGTGAGTTCGATCCTCACTAGAGGTCTCATGCGAATAGTATTTTTCCAAAACTGAACTTAGCTTAATAAATAACATCATTTCAACTGATTTATGAGTTAGATTCCCACTGAGAGCCCCGTACTTGTGACTTTGCGATAATTTAAGCTAAATTTAATAAATGTCTATACATCTATACATACATTCTATACACATGATGATATGTAAATCTTTGCAATTTTATCGCTTCTTCCAAAGCACATCTACTCATCTTTATAATTTATGTATTAGCATCGAAATTATTTTTATTTCTTCCGGGTTTTTCCTCCAAGATAAGCTTGATTTATTTGGGAAGGATATTAGAATAAAGCAGATCGTATACTGGAAATAAACCGCCTGCATATGGATTGAAAAATAATTCTTTATATACACAAACACAGAAAAGGGTGTAAGACTAAGATGTGTCTTCTCTCCGGACTTATTCAATCTTTACAGTAAGGCTACATTGAGGGAATTAGAAGTCCTACCAAGATTCATTATTGGCGACCAGAATCTTTACAACATTAGATATGCATATGGCATAGCGTTTATGGCATATACAAGGAACTCCGCCAGAATCAATAAATCGAGAAGGAAATTGTAAACTTCAATTGTAAGAGGACATAATGTATAGTTGAACACCCGAATGTTAACAACGTAGATACAAATTAATTATCTAGAAAGTATTTTAACAGAGAGTGGGAAGTCTAAAGGCGCATTGGGCTAGCTAAAGATGTCTTCCAGAAGTAAAGAAAAGTATTAAGTAACAAGAAAATTACATTAGAAACAAAGACAATTGTACTGAACTGTTATAAAAAAATGGATCATCGTGCCTTCCTGACTGGGAATGCTGGACAATCTCAAAATGCTTTTTATTAAAATAAGACAATAATTTCCGCATCGTTCAATAAATTACTTTTACGAGTTCGGTGTGGAAGGCTCTAGACATTTATTATTAACTGGTAAAAGAAATAAGTTTTATGGTCTAATATCCTCGCACTACAGTTATGGTCCAAGGTTAGAAACAAGGAAGAACAACACGAACACAAGAGTAGAATAACAAAGATATATTAGAACAGAAAAAGAGTACAAGAAGATGAAGGTGTTAGTAATGACTGTTCGTCTGGTTTAGAGTGAACTATTATTGTCTCGCCTCGTTACACCATTCATTCGGTATCTAGCCACCTCCTACGAGGATTGCATGTAGCACAAGGCCGAGTTTAACGCGGGTTTCCCGAGCCCGTAGGCTCGTCCCAAAAAATATACCCTTTGAACCCGCCTAGACGGGTTCAGGGCCTGTTTACCTCCCCGGACGAAACCCTGCACTTCGGCAAAGCTTCGCCCGGGTTCCTCTCTGCCAAAGCAGAGAGTTCAACTGTCATGACCTGGTGCTCGTTACACCATTCATTCCATTATACCTCTTGAGAAGCGCAGTATTTATAGTGTCAGGAAGAGTCCATTATCGTCATAGGTAAGTTCCCATAACAATAAGTAAACAAATAAATATCCAAAGTTGGACAGTGGCGTCTTAGAACGCTTCAAATTATGACAATTAGTTCTTTAACGCATCGTTCTTTTCACTTTTAAAAACAAAGTGTACTTTCATATCTTGGGATAATCATCACTGGCAAGAGGGCATAATGTATAGTTGAACACCCGAATGTTAACAACGTAGAAACAAATTAATTATCTAGGAAGTATTGCATTCTCCTTAATCTCGACCACTGCCTGAAATCTCATCCTTTTAACGGATAATTACAAAAGTTCTGAATGTCGGAGAAGCGAGGACTGACCTGATGTTTTGCAAAAAATTACTAAATCGTACGAGTCGTTACTGATGAACTAGTTAACTGCGAAGTTGATGGCCTTACATTTCATACGCTCTCTCAAAGTTGTCTCACGCCGTCTTAATAACCTTACAGAGTGTCTACTTACGAGTTCTCTCTAATTGGTCGAAAGATTACATCAAAGACAGCTAAGGCGTCTATGGCTGGATGATTTCCGGAAATATATTGTATATCAAACCTATTTTGTTCTTATCTCTTTTAGTCACTGTCTGTCCAGCTAACCCGTTCTCAGATCACACTGAGTCCAAGACACACGGGTTAGATCAATAAGTCCGCAGTTTTACTCGGGATTATTAAGTGAATTTTTATTTCAACTTTGAGCAGCATAATTTTTAGCGTCACGACGAGAAATATAAAGACCAATCTTATTTTCAAACTACTAATTCATTTATGACAGTCTAACGGACCACCACCACCACCAGCGAGAAATCTTTTGTACTACCCGTCTACCTATTTCTGTATCATGAGGTACATGTAGAAAATTGCCCATAGTTGACTTGAATCCACCCTCTAACGGCTGATATCGCTTCGTTCTCCAAAGGATAGGTTGCAATCTAACATTTTATTTTGATTTTTTTTTTAATTCTATGATCTAAAAGTGTTAAAATATTATTTCGTATAATTTTTTGTATATTGTTGCGGATGTACGATGGTCGAGTGTTAAATTTGGGAAAAAACACATGTCTCCAGGAGTAACCACTATCAAAATGGAGGACTTGCATATATGTCCGGCAAGATAAAAGAAACAAGAACCAATTGGGACTACCAAGATTTCTTTTAAAACTATGTAGTATCAATATATATTATCTTTCACTAATAGAGCTTATAAAAATATGATGTCATTTTCTAAAAATGTTTGGAAGTTAAAAGACGTTAACAAAAATCCTACAGTAAAATTTAAAATGCTAAAAAAGCTAGAACGTGTAAATCTTTAAATGAACCTTGTTTAATGAACATGAGGACCTAGAAATTATCATATTTGCTGGAAAAATATCTCTATTAAATCAAATGAGTGAATTAACTTTAAATTGCCAACACTGTTTATCTCTTACCTTACAATATAGTTAAATTTCAAAAATTAGGTAGTACCATTTCTTATGGTCATAATTTATAAATAAATAACGGTTCACCCTCTACGAGTATTTATCTTATTTTTTTTTAATTCAGATTTAGTATTGCTATCTATTGCTGTCCAGTTAGTATTATTAATATCTTATATAGATATTCTACATTTTTAATTTTATCGACATGTTTCTTTAAGTAACTTCCTGAACCTGAAATTTAAAAAAAAATTCTGTTGAAATTAACTTTACGTTTGATTATCCTCAAACCCTTCTCCTCAGTATCCTTTGAATAATTGTACATGTCATATTTGTCTGCAATCACGATACATCTGTTGCGTGCATGCTTTTCGTAAATGTCAACGTTAACTTAAAATAACTCCGCCACCACCACCCTCTGCGCTTAATTTTCTATTTAGCGTAGATCTGATACTTGATTGGTTGATCAAGCCAAACCCACAAGTTTATTTTTAATTTTGACCTTGTGTTTCCTCACCAAACTTTATCTAATGAGGTAAAACAGTTACAATCTTCTATATACAATATAGTACCGAAACACGAAAGCAATTGTGAAGCGATTTTAACATATTTTTCCTCTTATAATATATATATATATATATATATATATATATATATATATATATATATATATATATATATATATAGTAAAGAGAAAGAATAGTAAGATATGTAATCCAGTGTTCTTATTAATATTTTTATTTTTACGAAACATGATATTGTTTTAAGAAGAAATGGATACAGGTAACAAAAGCAATTATGCGTGTAAAAAGAGAATGTGAAAATATTTAAAGTTCAAAGGATGTGAAGTGAGTGAAAGTGCGTACGCGCGCGCGCGCGCGTGTGTGTGTTATTACGTTTCCTAATGGAAAACATATTTTCTCCGAGAGACTTACATGTTGGCATGTAAGTGAAAAAAGTAAGAAGCGAGTTAGAAAAATATCGCAGAGTATTTATAGTCCGGAGAGCGTCCCTGATTAGCGGTTTCAGAAACGTAAGTAAGATGAGTTAAATCCACAATATCTTTACAGTAAAAGGAGCAAGGAAACTACACTTTAAGGATGGATTTTCTCGTATTTTTTTTTCTTGTTTGGCGCGTTGGTGTACATTTCAGCCGTTTAAGAATTTCATATTCACAATTATATAAAAATAAAACTTACACTAACAAAAGAAATCGCGGTTAAGCATCGTGCAATATTTAACGACATAGTTTTGTCTGAGTACATAACTGAATAAAAGGAAATAAACAACGGTGTAATAACAGTTTTATCTCCTCATATCATGCAATGATATATTTTGTTAACACAAATCATATCCAGTTGGCATCTCGTCATGTTATCTGTCAGCCTATCAAACCTATATCTAATGAATAGGAGGAGTAGAGATAAGTATCGTATTTCTAGTATGCTTGTTAGACATTTTCATGACGGTCGGCAGTGAATATTTCGGAGACAGTATGAAAGTGTAGTGGAGGTTCGCAGTGGATATCACAGCAGAGTGTAGTTCATCCTTCTCCTGGTCGCCTTTGGTCCTTCCGGTAGGAGGAAACAAGATGGCCGCCTTTATACACTATGAATACAGTGTTGGGCGGCTTCTGATTGGTCAACCTTCTATTGGTCGACTATAAAGGGAAATAAGTCATTCTGACTCGCTCACTAGTTATATGCTATATACCCAAAAAACCGTAACAATGCTAAGACATTATAATTGTTAAGACGCACTCTATGGTAATTTTGTAATCGTTGCTTAGATGTGGCAAAAGACTGAAAGTTTGAGACACCTAGTGAGAATAGAACTCAATACACAGTCGTAATTGAAAACAAATACCAGTGATACATTTTTGTAGAAAAATTATTATGAGAAATAGATTTTTGAAGGAAAAACTATTACCAGTAACACATTTTTGAAAAAAAAAATATTACCAGCAATAAAAATTTTGTCGGATATAAATAACCCATTGAGGTCGTAAAACAAACCAAACCAAACCAAACCAAACCAAACCAAACCATACCAGCAATTCATTGTTTGAAGAAAAAATATTACCAGAAATAGATTTTTGAAAAAAAAAAAAAAAATTACCAGCTATACATTTATGAAGAAAAATATTACCAGCAATAAAAATTGTTGGCATTACATAACCAATTGTGGTTGATATGCCATAAAACAAAACAAACCAAACCATACAGTTATAGAATGAATTAATTAAAATTCTTGGAACAAGTGAAACTGATAAATTAAATCATAATATATTTAACATAAACTTATTTCCAAGGGCAGATAAGATGAGTCATATCTTGATATCAGCTCTACTTAATATACACAGCAACAGGAAAAATACGATTTATTGAAAAGTCAGTGTCAAATTTAATTATATCAGTTAAGACGGGAATGTAGTTTTGCTCAAGGATGAATAAATACCTAAAGGATCGATTCTCAGATAGCTAACAAAATTCAGAGCATGGAATTTACAATTGACTGGCCTATATTTTATCAGTATTTATTAATTCAGATACGACTATAGATTAACGGGGATATACTAAAAAGAGAAAACTGATCGATCAATTTGTTAACAGGTATTAATGTTGATAGATTGAAAGAAATATCGATCGTTAGCTAGATGAATTGAAATGAAATATGTAATAGGATCGTTCATACATTCATTGATTTGCCTTTAGAGAAGTTGGCATTCATATTCGCGGTTTTAAAAAGAATACATCGTGAAGTTTAAAAATTAAGAAGCGTTGATTTGCTACGTTAAAATATAAGAACTAATGTCAGCAACGAAAGGGAAAAAAACTGCGAAGAAGTAGATATTCAGAATAATCAGCTGAGAAAGTGAACGCATGCGCAGTGTAGCTCCTCAGAAGCAAGATCTCAAGGCAAGTAGGGTAACTCATCAACTGCTGAACTGAAGCAACCTTTTATTCATTGAGCAGAGTTCATGGATAATGAGGGAAACTGAAATTCTTTAAGATTTCTCTCACTTCAAAATGGCCTCAAACTCTATAAGTTTTCTTTTTGTAGTTTCAATTCATTATTTCATTATACCCTATTGTCTAGATATACTGTCTTTTTTGTTATCTTTTATTTTATTTCAACTCTCCTTCGAGACAGCCAGTGAAGGGTGCTCTCTTGAGAATCAACGTTATCAGAACAATGTTCTTAATATTTCTAAATCGTTCACTAATGTTCATTAGGACCAGAAGTTTTGTTTCTGGCAAGAAAAACTTATGCTCAATTCATCTTATTAAATCCATGTTTTTCTTTTCTTTATATATATATATATATATATATATATATATATATATATATATATGATCACTTATTTCTCTTTTGTAGCCTCTTTTCTAAAGCTATAAATTAATTTTCTTCCCTTCGTTTTATTTAAAAATCTATAGCGTCAGGGATGTTACTTTTGTATCGGATTTATTTTTCATTCATTCATAGCTTATTTATTTATCCAATACAACCTTTTTTCTTTTTTTACAACCTTTCTTTTTTTTTTTTTACAACCTTTTTCTTTTTTTACAACCTTTCTTTTTTCTTTACAACCTTTCTTTCTTTTTTTACAACCTTTCTTTCTTTTTTTACAACCTTTCTTTCTTTTTTTACAACCTTTCTTTCTTTTTTTACAACCTTTCTTTCTTTTTTTACAACCTTTCTTTCTTTTTTTACAACCTTTCTTTCTTTTTTTACAACCTTTCTTTCTTTTTTTACAACCCTTTTTTTTTTTTTCAACTTTTTTTTTTTTACAACCTTTCTTTCTTTTTTTACAACCTTTCTTTTCTTTTTTACAACCTTTCTTTTTTTTTTACAACCTTTCTTTTCTTTTTTTACAACCTTTCTTTTTTTTTACAACCTTTCTTTTTTTTTTTAACCTTTCTTTTTTTTTACAACCTTTCTTTTTTTTTTTTACAACCTTTCTTTTCTTTTTTTACAACCTTTTTTCTTTTTTTACTTTTTTACAACCTTTTTTTTTTTACAACCTTTCTTTCTTTTTTTACAACCTTTCTTTCTTTTTTTACAACCTTTCTTTCTTTTTTTACAACCTTTCTTTCTTTTTTTGTTTGCTTTTTTAAAAATTTTGTTAGGTTTTTCTTTTTTATGTGAAATCTTTTTATTTTCCTTTTTTTCTTTTTCTTTGCGAAATAGTGTTCCAGAATGTTTACATCAGTTTGAATAATTTTTGTACTTTTCTCGGTTTATGTACTCTGTCTACATTTCAGAGGCATTCTTTCTTTCTTTCTTTCTTTCTTTCTTTCTTTCTTTCATTCATTCATTCTTTCTTTCTTTCTTAATATTTCCTTTGATTCATTCTTTCTTCCTTTCGCAATCACTCCTTTGTTTCAGTCTTTCATTTACAACCAATGCTATCTTTTTACTTTATTTCTTTGTTTCTTTCTTCCCTACGTTTTTTTTCTTTTTTACAATCACTCTTTTGTTTCATTATTTCTTTTACAATCACTGCCTTCTTTCGTTCTTTCTTTTCTTTTCTTTCTTTCTTTCTTTCTTTTCTTTGTTTGTTTGTTTGTTTGTTTGTTTCTTTATTTCTTTCTTTCTTTCACATTTATTCCCTTGTTTCATTCTTTCACAATCATTCCCCTGTTTATTTTTATTTTGCCATTCGTTCTTTCACAAAGGCTCACTCACTTCTTTCTTTCTTTCTTTCTTTCTTTCTTTCTTTCTTTCTTTCTTTCTTTCTTTCTTTCTTTCCCTTGAAGATCTTAGCTGTAGTTTTTCTTTGATTTCTTTTCCTTTGATTTCTTTTCCATTTCTTCCCGCTTGTTTTTCACCTACCGTCATTTTCTTCTCCCCTCCTTGTCTCTACGCCTTAACTTAGATATCCCTTTATCTAATTGCTTTGCCTGTCTACCATTCAATTTTCTAAATACATTTCCTGTCACATTATTATTTCTTTCGTTGAATTTGATTTCATCATAATTTTAGTATGTCTTCTTTTTCATTTACTTTTTTTTTATATATATTTCTGATTCGTCTTTCTTTGTTTCTTATACTAACCCACAATTCCTTTTTTTTTCTTCTCTCGATTCCTTCCCCACATTCCTATCCACTTTACTGCCTCCTACCCTTTTTCTTTAATTTCTGCTTAATGTTATCATCATCTCCTCCCCCACGTTTTGTTCCACCAATTTGTATTCTTCTTTTCCCTCTACTTCAAGTCCATTTACCACTATTGTTTCCTTTTTCCTCTCTTTTCGTTCTTCTCTCCTTTTGATCTTTACTTATTTTCTTTTACTATTTATTTTACTTTTCCTTATTATCTTCCTCAGTGTTTCCCATCCTGTTCCTTTTTATCCTTATTTATTCGTTCCCCTATCGTTCCGCTTCTTTCTCCATTTCTTCTTTTTAGCCATTCATTAAATCAGTCTCATCCGGTCATTATGTCCTGTTGCCTTCCACCTCCGGCTTTTTTGCACCTCTTTTCCAAAGTAGCCTTTTCTTTGCATTCTTGTCGCAGTTTCCTTATTTTCTTCTTTCTGCTTTCATCTTTGTAACCTTCTCGCCTCTGAGCTCCAGTTGTTCCTCTGCGCATGCGCGTGCAATTGGCAGAACAGAGTTGCAATTTGGCATGCGACATACGAAGGCCTGTTGGCATGATAATAAGGTTTTATTATGTTGGGGATATTCAATGGAACATGTCCGAACAGATAGCTGTGGGTAATGCTGTTGTTAACAGATACGCCCACTTATCGAGACACGAATGCAAATGATGCCACGCACTTGAAGCCATAAATACAAACACTCATACGCACCTAAAAGAATCGACACATACCTACAGTGTGATGAAGAAATATCTCATCGCACACGGGGACATATACGAGCTTACGTATAAATACTAACGCGGAATAAAAGAAAAATGTACAAATACATATCTCTCTCTCTCTCTCTCTCTATATATATATATATATATATATATATATATATATATATATATATGTGTGTGTGTGTGTGTGTGTGTGTATGTGTACGTAAGAAGACTACACTAGTGCAGCGGTTAGCCCACGTAAGTGCTCAGTTAAGCACATGTTCATACAGAAAATGCCCCTATTTAGTAGGAACGTTTAGAGACTACGATAGTACAGGTATAAAAACTCATAATTAAGCAGACACGTTGGCAGTCTGCCGTAGTGCAATAGCGGGTATGCAAAAGCACACTGTTTTAAATAAGCTGAACTCCTCGTTAGAAAGGTGTACTGAACTGTTATGTGATATCTGTCCTCCTATACACCAGATAATGCTGGCCAGTCTCCGCAAAGATGGAGAGACTTTAAGCAACAGAAATGCGGTTCTACAGAAAGATGCCGAGGATGATATGGACCGGACATGTGAGCAACAACGAAAATTTGAAGTAAATGGAAACCAAAAGGAAACTTATACTTAACATCAGAAAAGGGCATATAGAATTTTTGGGGCACATAATGAGGAAAGAAGCCTTGGAAAATATGATACTCAAAGGACTGATAGAGGGACAGGGTAAAATACTTGATGAGCTTCAGTAATGTATGGTTTGGGAGAAATAACAAAAAGACAAAATGTATTAAGATCTACAAAGGAAGGGAAGATGTGGAGAGCCAGATCGTTTACATAATCTGCCGTCGACGTACGCCCTCACATGCTGCACTCACAATTCTCTATAGTTGACGAGTCAGCGTGACTGCCTTTTGGAGAATACGCTTGATCTGAGTATGCCTGAGATATTCATACTCAAAGGTGTTGCATCACTCCATAACAAAATTTCTCCACTTCCCAGTGCCACATACCCATGACCAATGCATTCAGATTAGTCTTAAGATTATCTTTAAACCTCTTCTTAGGCTTTTGTTGTGGACAGCTTCCTGATTTCAGTTCCTCGCAGAAGCGAATCCTGTTATCCTTTATTTTCGCAACGTTCTTACCCATCGCATCTGGCTGAATATTACTATCGTTTTAATGCATTCAAATTTTTGGATGGCTACAGTGTCTGTAATAAATCTGTATGTTTTTCAGGTTTTATACATAGAGGGTGCAATGGGTAAATTGTCGCCAGTTCATACTTTAATTTCGCGCATGCGCGTTTTTTTTTTTTGATTTTGTGTCTTTCTATATATCTGGGATATTCTTCCTTTCGATTTAACTATGTGAATATGGATATATCTCTATATACAGATCGATAATTAGTTTATCTTGAGCTGCATAAGAGGAAAGAAATATTGGGCGATGCAATTCTTACGCACCAACCCAGTATATATATATATATATATATATATATATAGATAGATAGATAGATAGATAGATAGAGAGAGAGAGAGAGAGAGAGAGAGAGAGAAAGAATAGTAGAGAGACACAGACAGAAAGAAGAAGGTTATGTGAGAAAATAGTGGAGAGACCATTGTGAGAATGAAGTAGAAATCAGGAATATGAAGTTGCTACGAAAAGAAAGAGAAGAATTGAGTTGTATATAGATACTGAAGAAAATTACATGCAAGGTGCGATGATTAAATTGTCGCCATTTTATTTTTTTTAATTCGCGCATGCGCGTTTTTTTTTTTTTTGTCGACTGCATAGTATAGTAGGGTCGGTTGGACACCATCTGTAAGAAAAATTAAAAAAAAATAACGCAATACATTCCTCTATAATTTGGAAACGGCATGATGTACTGCTTGGCATTCGTACTGAAGGTCCAATACGAACATTTCAGAGTGTTTGGATGTCAATCTGAAGACAGTTCAGAGGATTCCTAAAGAATTGGATAAGTCTAATGACGATTGAAAAGGTGTTTGGCGTAATCACTAGTGAATGGCAATGCTATGCCTTCATGTGTCTTCCCACAGAGCCTACACAAGCAGAAGGGCCCAGTCTTGACCACATAACATCTTACATCTGCCACTTAACTCCCCAGACTGCAACTTCTTTGATTATTATATGTGAGGCGCAGTTGTAAAGGTGAACTGAAGGCTAGGTTTATGGCAGAATTCATTAACTCAAACAAGGAGACAGTTCGGAAGAGGTGCATGTGATGCCGAAGTTGTCTGGAGGGCGTAGTTGAAGCCAATGGTGATTTTATTGAATAAATTTACTCTTTACTAAAGAGAAATTGTATTGAATAAAATCACCATTGAGATAATTCAAGAAACGTTTCATAATTTTATTAAATATATCTGTTAAAATGCGATGTCAATATTACTTCCCTTTTTGCGTAATTTAGATGACAATTTATCCATCACACCCTGTACATACATATATACTAGTAGAACATTAAAATATAGAATTTAAATAAATGATGTAATGAGTATAAAAGGGATATTTTACAAAATAATACACTCATTGAATGAGTCGTTCATCGTAACAGGTTTGAGTATAATTTAGATTTCATGCATTTTGTTTTAAAATTTTTAACTATTTTTTCTGGCGAAATTCTATTAAAAGTGCACTAGTTTCCGAATCCTCTACTGTAAATTTACAACCTGAATCGTACATCTGCTTTCCTCATTAAATGATTAATTTGTAACCGTCTTTTAATTCGTTTACCCCTAAGATTTTAACACACACACGCACACACACGCACACGCGCAGACACACACACATATATATATACTTTTTTTTGAACAATAAAAATATTAAAAAATTAAAATCTTCAGACACACTGAAAATATATATATATATATATATATATATATATATATATATATATATATATATATATATATATATAACTATACTCGTTTCAAAAAACCCTCGAATTTTTGATTTGCCAATAATCAAATCAATCTCGAGGGAAAATAGGTTTTAAAAAAAGAAAGACTAGAAACATGAAAGTCTGTCGAAAAAATCGCACAGATACAGGTTTGAAGCCCAAAGAAAAAAACCCGATATGAGTAAACCATTAACGAACAAAAGAGCTCAATACAACCGTAGAGCAGACCTAGATAAACCTAATGAGCCAGATAAACCTACCTAGGTTTCACCTAAACGGATCGTCAGGGAAAGCCCTTTCCCTGACGATCCGTTTAGGTGAAACCTAGGTAGGTTTGTCTGGCTCACTAGGTTTATCTATATATATATATACATATAAAAGTGGACATTAAAGTCAACACCCAGAGGCAATAGTCAATTTCATGCTAAACGCAATCGTCATGACCCGATGACTCCATTTATCGTGAAACAGACTGTCGCATCTGGCTGTTGACTTCAGTGTCTACTTTTATATTTACATATGCTCTGTCCCTTACTTTAACCTATAAATATAGAATGACTTAAAACTGAAAATTATCATATATATATGTGTGTGTGTGTGTGTGTGTGTGTGTGTCTAAAATACTAATATTCCATGGTTATAATTTATTACATTGGAATCGTAATCACGATCCAATTCACTGAGTTCTACCTGGATTCTATATTCTCTTGAATATATATATATATATATATATATATATATATATATATATATATATATATATATATATATATATATATTGTCATCCACAGACAGACTGTTTGACTGTATCACAGCTCATCAGTGTGGCTAGACGTCCAGTTGCCTCTAGCTAGGATCGAAATCCGAATTAGCGTCAGTCGGGGATTCTACCACTAAGCCGTTGGCGCACGGCAGGGATGAAGGTGAATTTAAGCGTATTTACTTTTAGATAAACACACAGTGACTGAGAGAACGCGATTCGATTTACCGAAGACTTTTGCATTATTACCAGTTATAGTAACTGTTTACAAACCCACACTTCTTTCTCAGAAAGCTCAACCAAAATAAGTTTTTCAGGAGCATATATATTGTCATCCACAGACAAACTATATCGCTGTATCACAGCTCATCAGTGTGGCCAGACG